GTGTTGGAGTCAGTGTTACAGTTTTGGCTTGTATCGGAGTAGTGGTGAGGGGAGTTGTGCTCTCTCTCTAAATATATATATTTATATATATTGTATTAATAAAAGCTGCTCTCCTCACATTACTGTAACTGTCTCGCCCATATTCTGAAGCACCCATATCTGGGTCACTGATGTTTCGTCATCTTTTCCTTTAGACAACAATCCCAAAACACTAGAGCGCTGGTGGAGATGTTACTCTTGCCTATTTATTGAAACCCAGCTCAATATTTTCATATTTTAATGTAACTGTCTTTCTTTGATCTTTCTTCCTTTGGTTCTTCATCAGCAGCCAAACTCTTCGTTTACTCGATGTCGTTCTCTTCGTCGTCTTCCATCTGAGGCAGCTCTTTCTCTGGCAACAGGCCGTAGCTGTTGAGGAAACCCTCCACGTCAGTAGCAAAGAATTCCTCATTTAGATGCTGTGTGCAGGCCAGGAAGTTTCCCAGTAGCTCTCCGGCTTTGTACACGAGCAGCGTGGGTAAATATTCATCCGAGAAGCGCTCGGCGGCACCGGAGGCGACGGCGTCAATCCTGCAGAACTTTACGGTGGGATACTCAGTGGCCAGGCAGTCAAGGCAGCTGTTGAGTGCCTCGCAGCCTTTAATCCCATCCTTGTAGATGTGCACAACCACGACCGTGCTGTGATGCTCCTTTTCAATAACTTCTAGGAAAGCCTCTCCACTGTCCAGGTCGTACACGCCTTCAAACCTTGGCCCAAAGCTGAGCTTGTCATGCATCTCTTGCATGCACCGCTTTCTGTAGCTCTTTAGACATCCTTCATCCTCCTCCTTAAGCAGTTCATACTCTTGGACACTCATCTGAAGGAAGTGTATTAAAACAGTAGTTACATTTTTGGGTTGATATTTATGTGCAGCGTTTGGAATGGCAAACATTTGCTGCTCGAGGCTAAAGTTTTCAAAAATAACTGAGAATTTCTGCAATTTCCTGAATCAGAGTTAAGAACTGTGGGAGCGCTGTGGGAACTGGGTTGTGTCATACCTTGCGGTTAAGGTTTCCTCTGGAGGCATCTTTTGCTTTGCTGGGGGATGACATTTGTCTCAGCAGTTCCTTTTTTGCAGGATTCAAGTTTTCTTGTTCCATGCTTTCCAACTTAAACCTCCTCCAGTCATTGATCACCCCTTTGGGGCCTACGGAGAAAGCAGATAGTTGTTTGTGTTCAGGGAAATTACTAATGTCTCTGCTAAACTATTTATGAACGCAGAGTGGCGAGAACGAAACAGGAGTGGGAGGACAGATGCTTCAACAGACAGGATTTAATTCATGCGTGTGGGAGCTGTGGTTTTATAAAGCAGCAGTCATACAAATCTTGGTTTTAACAGTGATGTCGTGTATATTTATGTTTGAAACCACTGGTCACGCTTATGGATAAGGCGTGTCTTTTTACAGGAAGTGTACCAGTTACCTCAGTGTTGCATAATAAAAAGAAGATTAGAGCATCTGTTAACCTCTTACAAT